AAAAAAACAAAAAAAAAACAAAAAAAAAAAAACGAGAAGGGGAATATTTGACATTGATATTTGCTGCCCGCATGTGTGTTTGCTTCTACCCTTCTCTGTGGTGGAAATACTAATTGCACGGGAAATGGCAGGAACTCCGACATGGCTACGTACGCCACAGTGAGTGAGGGAATGTCGAGTAGGACACCGCCAGCCACTCTAGGCTGAGGGCGTGCGTAGGCTGAGTGTCTAAAAATGGATCCCGTTATTGCCACGTCATCAAGAGATCAATCTAGCAACCGGTCCCCTTGTTGTCATGTCATCAAGCGATCAGTCCAAGGACAGATCCCGTGATTGCCACGTCATCAAGCGATCAATAGACCTAGTGATTCAATAGAACTAGTGATGATGTTTTTGCCACATGATTATCCGGTGTATGTAGCAACACTGTTTACATGACTTCATTGCCATGTCATCAAGCAACACAAACGAGTCGTTACTCCATTGCCACGTCATCGAGGCCAATCCAACGAAGTGATTACGATCATCAACATCGTTGGGCTATGGAATTAGCCCAGTGGGACTCAATGTCTCGCATTGATTGGGTGTGGGAAGCATTGATCCACGATTTTCCAGTGATTGTTGAGTGGGGTTGATGGGTGATGTATCTCTGACTCTAGTGACATCCACAGCTCTGTCCGCCCTGACTCTGCCTCTGGCACACGTCATTGTCATGTTCTTTGACGTCTTGCTGGGTCTTCGGCCGAAGTAGTCCTGTAGTAGTAGTGTTGTAGTCGAAAAAGAAAACCATCCACAAATTATTTACCTTGCGGAAACCTCCAAATTATGGCGCTGTAGGGGGAGGAAGAAAGTTCAAAAAACACACAACAACAAACATCGGAATCTCAAACTTCAAACGTGCGAGGTGAAACCTCTTTCCCGACGTGTAGCATGGGTACTACTCATCGACACGTAGCATGGGTACTATTCATCGTCGTAGGGAATCTGTCAAACTTGGAACAGCATGAGGGGAAAAAAGAGTAATCAGCATGGCCGCGGCGCAACAACGAGAGAGGCTATATGCGGACTATGACATAGTCCGCACAAACTCCTCCCCCTGGTAATCGAAGGGGATGCTATGCGAACCTTCTCGTTTTGTCTGAGCTCGATTTCTACGGAAAATATTACTCTCGTCATTGCATAGATTTATGCTACCCGTATGCCCTTTGAACTTCTGTCAAGTGAACTTGATCGCGTTATGGACCCGGGCTCCAGCAGGTGCTGCTCCCCACCAATAGACTGGAGCACCGGTGAGGGTACTAGGGGCGGATACTCTTACCACCTTGCCTAGTGAACCAAGCAGTTAAAGAAAAAAAAATATCATCAATTCCTACCGACCGTTTCTTCCCAATTTGAGTATGCTGTCAATCTCTACTACGCCAATGTTTTTTCCAATGGCATAACTAAACCATGTCTCCCAGAATACAACACACCCTGTAGCTGGATTTGAACTACTCCTTTCATCCATGGTGAGGGAGGGAAATGCCAATGCTAACCTTGCTAACCATCTATCGAGAGAACAGAAAGGACTAGGAGGGGAAAAAAAACAACACCACCACCACGAGCTCACCCTAGTCAGGGCATACGCACACAAGTACTTACATAAATGAATCGGACTGCAATTATGGCCAGACGTGGAAGACTCTGACACTGCCAGACTATAGTAGAAAAAATACTATTGTGGGTATGCCCTCATTGTCCAGGATCTATTGTGCTGCCGTACTTCAAGATCGCGACCCTGTCGTCTACCCCATACAGTGAGTGCCTGCTGCCTCGCAATAGCCAACTCTCAGAGAATAGTACTCAGACGAGTCAGACCAGGATTTTTTGGACTGCTATATGGACGTAGTTACTGTCAGACACAGACGGGAGCAGTCGTATTGGCTAGGTCAAGTTCAAATTCAGCTAAATGTAAAAGGGAAAAAAAAAACAGAAAAAAAAAAACTGTGTCGTTGCTGGCAGTGAAGGAGAAGGAACGATCACCGCGTGGCAAGGCATTGTGCACCCCATATATCTTCAAAGGAAAAAAACACACTTCAATTGAAGTCTGGGAAATAATAAGGAGAAGAAGTAAAAATGATCACTCGAGTATACACCTCACGTGTGTGGACTAATTCCTAGTACTCACTCATGCACCTGTCTGCCCGGTAATATCTTTCCTCTGAATGTCAAAGCTGAATGTCCGGACAGTAGGCTCTGTCATCGAGATTGATGTTGAACAACGAACTAAACAGCCCCCCCCCCCGCCCCCCCAAATAAAAGTTACAAACACAAGCTCCCATGCAATAAGAACACAAATTTTCCAGAATGCAGAATGTCAAAGAAGACCAAGGCTTAGCACGGTTGAGCAAAGTTCAAAAGCAGAAAACCAAAGCGGAAAGCACACCATTTAGGAAGAAACAAAACACTGAAGTCTCTCCGAAACCAGACCCTCAACTCTCGTCTTCAATCATCAATACATAGCCAACGTAGTAGCCCCATAGTGATGCGACTAAAGCAGCACACTCTGTGTGTGTGTGTGTGTGTGTGTGTGTGTGTGTGTGTGTGTG